ATGGGGATCCTACCCCACTTGGTGAAAGGAAAACTGGTGAAAGGAAAATATATACATACACACATATATATATTCGTGACCGCAGGTGTATATTTTGTGGTTTTGTGATTTTGCGCTTTTGCGTTTTTGTAGTATTAAGAAATCGCTCGCGTTTTACCTAAACGTGTGTGTGTATGTGTGGTGGGACTTTTGTTTCGTATAGTTGTAGTATTAAGAAAGCGCTCGCGTTTTAACTGAAACAAAGTTTGGTGACAAGGTGATGCTAGAACTAGACGAAAATTTTCTTTTTCTTCCAGAATCCTACAACTCATTAAAAGATTCAACTATTGAAGCCATAAACGATAATACATTTTATATCAAATTGATTAAACCTGGTGGAAAATTTACTTCACCATTATTTCAATTTCATACAGAATAAAAAATAAATAAAAATATAATGTATCCGTGCAGTTTTTGTGAAAATATATATGTTCGGAAGAGTAGTTTAAGCAAACATATTACAATGGAACATCAAATTTCAAATAAATAATTTTTTGTGAGCAATGTAAGATTCAAGTGAAAGTAAATGTATGGACAGCACACGTGAGAACAAACATATATAAAAAAAATGTATGTATAGTGTAAATAGTAATGTTAAATGTATTAATGCCATGTTTAATAATAGTATTGAAACATACGTTTTGGATAACGATCAGCCCAATGATTAAATTGTTGAACATTTTTTTGAAAAACATGTAAATGAGTTATCTGAACTTAACCAGAAATCAATAGAAAAGCATAAAAGCATCAAATTTAACTTTGAACTATTTTGTAAATATATTCATATTAAAGAAACTATTGATGCTCCAAAACATTTTTTTAAAATTATTTTAGATGATGTTTTAGATATTTACAATCTATATTTGTGTAAACCAGTCAGAATACTTCCATTAACTGTCAACCAAATTATACGTCAAAAAGAGGATATAGTTTGTCATTTTGTGGAATGGAACTTTTATTAAATGATAGGGTAGCAGACCATTTTCATTTAAGTGGTGCATATAGAGGTCCGGCACATAGAAAATGTAATTTAGAATATCAGATAGCAAATTTTATTCCAATATTTTTTCATAATTTATCGAAAATTGATTGCCATCTATTTATAAAAAAGTTGTCGTCTGTTAAGGGGGATATAAATATAATTCCCTTAAACAAAGAATTATATATTTCGATATCAAAGAAGATATACATATGTTAATGTAAAACATATTATTGAACTTCGGTTTTTAGATTCATTTCGATTCATGCCTTCTAGTTTAGACAGTTTAGCTAAGAATTTAAACAATAATGATATAGAAATAACAAAGGCTTTTTTCCCTAACGATCACCACTTTATATAATGCAACGTAAAGGTATTTTTCCATATGACTACTTAGATTCGGAAGAACGTCTCAACGAAACACAATTACCAGTTCGTTCACATTTCTTTAATAAATTAACAAATGAGTCATGTAGTATCGACGATTATCAGCATACACAAAATGTTTGCACAATATTTAATTGTTCCAAGTTATTAGATTATTTGTTCCTGTGCTTCTCCTCAGTGACATTTTTGAAAATTTTAGAAAGTTATGCAAAGGAATTTATTAACTAGACCCATGTCAATATTATACATCCCCGGGTTTATCTTGGGAAGCAATGCTTAAAATAACTAAAATAGAATTAGAATTATTGACTGATGAAAACATGTATAATTTTATTTTGTCTGGGATTAGGGGAGGTATTGTTCAATGTTGTAAACGACAATCAATTGAAAACAATAAATATTTAAGTGATTACGATGTGCCTAAGCTTTCAAATTATATAATTTATTTAGATATTAATAATTTATATGGCTATGCTATGTTACAATATATCCCTCATAACAATTTTGAATGGGTTGAAAACGTAGAGGAGTTTAACGTTTTTAGTATACCAGAAGATTCTTCAGTTGGTTACATATTAGAAGTAGATTTAGATTATCTCATAACCATTCACAATATTCGTAATGACTTACCATTTTGTTTTGAAAATAAAAAAGTTGGTTCAATGAAACACTCAAAGTTGTTCATTATAAAAAATTGCAACAATGTATAAAATATGAACTTATATTAAAGAAAATTCATAGAATTCTACTATTTAATCAATCGGATTGGTAAAAAAATTATATTGATTTAAATAATTATCATAGAACATTAGCTGCAAATAAGTTTGATTAAAATTTCTTTAAATTATTAAATAATGCGGTGTATGGGAAAACTATGGAGAATGTCAATAAAAGAGTAAATGTTAAATTAGTACAAGATTAGGAACATACTAATACTGGGGAAAGAGGTAGAAACAAAATAGGTGCTATAGCCTTAATAGCAATAACCAAATTTCCACAGTCTATCCAAATTTTCTGATAATTTAATAGCGATTCAAATGAAACAAGCGATAATTCTGAATGAAAAAACCGATATATATTGGTTTTATTGTTTTAGAACTTTTTAAATTGAAAATGTATAGTTTTCATTATGATTATATTAAAGAGAAATATAAAAATAATATTGCATTGAATTATATGGATACTGATTCATTCATATATGATATCCAAACTGACGACTTTTAGAATGATATTCGGGTTGACAGTTCAAAATTTTTCGATACTTCTAGGTATGATGAAGGATGAATGTAATGGAAAGTTAATAAAAGAATTTATTGGTTTAAGAGCGAAAATTCGTTTAGAATTGATAATGACATAAATGAAACTAAGAAAAATAAGGGAATAAAAAAGTGTGCAACTTCTGCACTGAATTTGAGTGATTTTAGAAAATATCTGTTGGAATATAAGCT